CAGCATCCTCTGCTAGGATGCCATCCCCGCACCCCACAGCCTCGGCTTTACCACCGTACACATTGCCAGGCCAGAGACTGCGCCACCTCCCTGCCCCCAGGGAAAACCTGACTCATAGGGCCACATGCTGCCTACAATTTCATGTTTCAGACTTCTGCACGCATCATCAGAAACCGCCCTTCAATGGATGGAGAGGACGCAGGCACCGTGATCCCTCCCCCACACCCACTCTTCCCACACCCTGCCACAGGCCACGTCCTCTCAAGTTCTTGGTAAAGTACCCCAGTGAAGAGAACACCGGGGCAAACCTGGCAGGTTCTCAGAAATGTCTGTACAGTGAGACCAGGACCTGGCCTCCCAACCACAGCACACCCGCCATCCCCTTGCAGCAGAGCTGCTCTCCTGGCCCAGATTCCACGCCCCCACACAGGAGCCACAAGTCCACACCCTACATTCAGAACCCTGGAACACAAGGCCAGTGCCAGGTCAGCTCGCAGGGGACTCAGAGGTCATCATGGCAGCTTCCTGCCTGTGCCCTGACCCGTGGCAGCCTCAGGAGATAGTGACCTCCTGGCCAGAGGTCGTGCAATTCAGGGAGACACAGGGTGGCCTCCTCAAAGCCTGCAGGTGGCAGGCCACATCCTGCTCCAGGTCCCTGCACTCCATCCCAGCTCATCCACCCCCAGATGGGGTAGCCACACCTGCAGCAAGGGGCCCTGGTCCACAGGTCAGGAAGTCCAAGTGCTGCCCCCTGGCTCCCCACCTTGGCAGCCCAGTGACTTCAGCAAGGTCTCAGATTCCCTACCGCCCTGCCCTGACGGGGGAGTGGTGAGGACCTGCCCCTCCTGCTGCATGATGGGAGTGAGTGGGGTCAGAGGGTTTCTGGGCTTGGGAAGAGGGGCTGGGAAAGTGAGGGGCAGGCGGATGAGGTATAACCTTTCCCGGGAATGTCTGTGTGCCTGAGTGCCTTAGAAACACCACTTCCCAGAACCTGCTGCCCCCAGCTTCCCCACCGGCTCCTACCCTGCCCCACCTGCCTGCTGTGCTCTCTGCCACCACGATTGGGGCAGAGCCCAAGGGCCTTAGAAAGTGTCTGTCCCAGGATTAAAGTGTCTCACCAAGGGACAACACGCTGGGACCAGACAATCCCAAGCCCTAGTAATCTGAGGGACACAAGCAACTACCTGACCAGACAGTGGATCGAAGAGGAGCACCAATCACAGATCCCCTACCCTCTCAATACTTGGGCCCAGGGTAGGCAGTGATCTGTCTAAGGTCACACAGCTGTACCAGGCCACCAGGTGCTCAGCTGGGACCCTCTCCACTTTGCCCAAGCCTCCTAAGGAAGAGGAGAGTGTCTTTCTTCCAATGGCTTGGGACTAAAGACAGTCAAGGAGGCCAGCAGACCAGTAGGGAAGGACACTGCCCCTGAGGATAGCAGCCATGGGGCTCCAGCACCCCCTGGTGGAAGTCTAGGGCAAGACAGGTATCTGAGCCCCACCCTCACCCCGGCTCTGCCGTCCTGGGGCACACCTACCTCTGTTTCTGGACGAGGGATGAACACTGGGGGTGCCATCTTCAGACTGAGCCCATGAAAGTCCCACTCCCCAAGGACATACTGCACGGGCATCCTGCAGAAGGGGCGACAGGGGTATACTCAGTGCCAGAGCCTGGACCCACAGGGCCTGCATTGAGGGATACCCCTTGCAGTCAAAGTGTCAGCTAGGGTCACATCTCCTGTGCTCCAGGACTCCAAGCCAAGGCCTTCCCTCCCTCCTAAAGTTTGACTTCCTGACACCCCCCGACCCCCAGTCACTCCCTCATCCCAACAGCTCTCCAGTGCTTAGACACTTTCCTCCTTCCTGGCAATGATCTTGGGGCTGGGGGAAACTGGATCCTGGCCCCCACCCACAGCCCTCAGGTCTGGCCTCCAGGTGCTCACCTTTGCAGCCGGCGGCTACTCAGCTCCTGGATGCACTGTAGCTGCCAAGCAGTCAGGGGCTGGGTCCAAAGTACTGGCCTCAGGCTCTGGAACTGCCCCACAGAGAACGTGAGTGGCTGGCTCGCCTGACTCAGGGGCCCTGACCCAGGTTTCTCATGCAGACAATGTCTGTGGGCCCCATGCTGGCTGGTGAGGTCACTCCTGAATCCCCAGGGCCTGGCACACTGTGCAGTGGTTTGCTGGACGAATGATGTAGGTTGCCATCCATAGATTATTCTGTTTCTATGGGAATTGACTGTCTTCCTTGGAATCTGTGGTGCACGCCGCAGCTCACTAAGTCTAAACCGAGATCTGTTCCTTGTCCTCTCTACCCCCTCATTGCCTGGTGCCAGGGAGACTTGCCCAAGCGACCTGGAGGCAATTACATTCCTGGAGTAAAGCATGTTAATTACTGTGTCTGGAAACTTGTTAACCCACCAAAGAATGTGATGCCTGATCAATAAATATGAGAGGTGCCTTTCCAGCACCACTCTTGAGCGGGCATGCCTCGAGTCCCCTGGCTGGTCTACTAGGGTCCTTGATATCTCATCACGTCGCCTCCTTCATCTGCGGGTCGGAGACGGAGAGGAGGCCGACAAATTAACAGGCGCTACCTGAGACACCCCTTCAGCAAGAGCCCGCTCCTCTCAGCCCAGCACTCCCCAAGGGACTGGGACGCCTGGGGTCTCTTCCTCAGGCTCCTCCCTCCGCCCACCCTCTTGACAACGCTGCACTTAACTGTTTTGGCTCCAAGGACATGAGCCACGATGTACTCACTGGATTCCCGGGCTTCAGGGATGCCCCTCTTCTCAAAGACGGCAGTCCAGTGACTGACCTGCTCCCTGGCACTCGACAACCCAGCCAGAGGCAGACGGGGTTGCCATGAGCTGAAGGCCCGGCCCCAGGAGCCTCCCCTCCTCCCCATGCCAGACAGAAATGTCCACAGCATTCGGCCCCCAAGCTCCATGTCTCAGAGAAAGGCTCCCGCGAGCACTCCCAGCTCCCCAAGTTTTCCCTGTGATGTTGGCCATGGAAGGGGACCACTGGCCCCAGGTGAAGAGGGAGAGATCACAGTCTCTGGCTCAAGGTGGCTCTGCTCCTCAGATATGACTGCCAGCCTGGAAGAGGGAAGAACCAGGAGAGGAGCTGGGCCTTGGGTGACCCACTGCGGCCCTAGGAACTCTAGAGCGGGGCGACGTGATCCGCCCGAGCCCTGTCTCAGATGTGCCGAGAGGCCATTCTCTTGCTCTGCCACATCCCTGACTCCATTTTAGGCCCCCTATTTGGTTCTTCTTGCCTTGGCCAGGTATGTTTCCTTCATGCTTCTGGCCACAGCGGCTGAACCCGTAACTCAGTCCCTGCCTGGCGGCTCAGGGCTGAGGCTTGGCAGTGGGGCAGATCTGTCTGACCCAGTGTGTGTAAGCTCGGAAGTCATTATTTATGAGTTTCAGTTTCCTCGTCCATAAAATAGGTAAAGTAACACAACTCCATGGCAAGCAGTGCATTAGCCAGCGAACAGCAAGGGCCAGGGAGCCAGCTCACCCGACAGGAGCCTCGGCGTTCTGTGCTCCTCATTAGTACTACGGGGAGAGGGGACTGCCTTGGCTGGGGGCTTTGCTTCCGACATTCTGCATGTATTGCCATTGACTCTATGCTCAAACTACCCCCTCCCAACTTAACTTACAATCCTAAACGTCAGCACGAATTGCCAGCTAAACACTGGCAATTTTTGTTAATTTTGTATTTATTACAAATGAATTTAATTGAAGGTTTAAAATCAGCCGTCCCCTTTACTTTCACACCGACCAAGGTCCACGCTAGCGGTTAAGAGGCCTCATCTTCAGAGACAGGCAGGGAGGCACAGGAGCTCCGAGGAGAGCGGCCTGCCCAACCCCGGCGAGGAACTGTCCCGGGCACGAAGCCAGGTCCTGCGGGCTCCAGAGGCGGCTCCGTCCACCCGAGCGCTGCCCCAAGGGAGACCCCTCAGCTCCGCAGGCACCGCTGACGCCCCGCGCAAGGTCGCCTCTCCTCAAGCCTGTTTCCCCACCAGCACAACGGGGGCTGGGAGGCCGCGGGGATGCTGCAGCCAGGCACCCCGTCCCGACCCTCGCCCGCAGCCCCCGCGCATACCTGCCTGAGCGGCGACCCCAGCCCGCAGGCCGGGAGAAACTGGCGCCAACGCGGCGCCCGGATGTGCGTGCGCTGCGTGAGCTCCCGCCGACGCTCTGCTTCCGGGGTCGGCACATCTGAGACAGGGCTCGGGCGCATCACGTCGCCCCACTCCAGAGTTCCTAGGGCCGCACGAGAGTCCCGCGGGCTGCAGGGGAGGCTGGAGGTGCCACGCGTGCTACGCCTGCGGGCCACGCGCAGAAGGGCGCGGGGCTGCTCCCCGCTGGCCGGCACCGCCGCAGCCCGCGGTGACTGCTCCGAGCTGACGTTCGAATTCCCGGCCGGGGCCGAGTGTAGTCAGCCCGAGGGGGGCGTGTCACCGATGCGCAGCTGGCGCAAAACTTGGGGCGCAAGGCCCAAGGGCGTGGCCTGTGGGCCGGGGTTGCTGCGCGGACCCCAGCGCCGGGCCGACGGACCCCGAGGCCGCTCTTGACCCGCTTGTTCCCGTTTTAGGGTTTGGGGCGGCGAGCTAAAACCGGACGCGAGAAAACTCGTTTCGAATCCTGTCGCTGTCTCCAGCTCGTAGCTAGCTGGCGAGGTGTCCAGGGGTTCGGCCTCTGTGGGCCTGAGTTGCCCCTTCTATAAACTCATGGCAGTGTCTCTCCAAGGGTTTCCCTCCAGCAGAACCTGTTAACTGAGCTACCATTAAACGCGTCGTTTGCGGGCTCCGTTTCAGACCCAGGAGCCGTGGGGAAATGCATTTGGAACAAGCTGCCCCCGAGGATCCGCAGAGGGCCCTTCGAAGACCTGCGGAGAGAGAATGTCCGAGGGCCGGGCCCGGAGGTGGTCGGCACAGACGGAGGCTCGCCAGGTCGGGGTTCCCAACACCACCACCCGCCCCGACGTCTGTGGACCGGAGCGCCGCCGCCAGCCGGGTGGGCGTCGTTCACCAGGGGCCCTCAGTAGGGGCCCTCGGAGCAGGAGCCGAGGCCAGGCCAGGGGCGCACGTTGCTTTTGGTCACAAACCAGGAGAGGGTGGAGCCGGGGTTCAGCGCAGGCCCACGGACTCCCGGCCCAGTTCTCCCCGAGCCCCCGCGTCCGCCCGCGCTTGGGGGGCACGAGTCCCACTCGGCCAGGTGTCGCCCGGACGGCCCGAGGGCTGAGCTGTGCCCGGGAAGGGCCTGGCCATCCATCGCTCAGCCCGTAGGGCCCTGCGGGGAGCGGCGGTGTCCAGCATCCACGACTGGATTCGGTTCCCACGTGAGCGACAGGAGTGCGGGCCAATGCCGGGCGGGCTCTGGGCCTGCCAGCCAATCGCGGGCCGGGGATGCGGAGCGGCCGGGAGAAGAGGCGCAGGGCTCTGGGACTCAAGCTGCCCGCTGCGCTCCACCCCCGGCCGGTCCGGGCCAGGCTGGCAGAGCCGGCGCCCGGGGCTACGGGGCGCGCGGCTCGGGGCCCGCAGGGAGGGCGGACTCGCTGCGGACGCCAGCCCCACCCCTCCTGGCCTCTCCAGCTGAGCTCGGCGCCCCAGGGAGGATTAAGTAAGTGCTGAGGTCGCCGCTTCTGTGCAGGAATGCAGGGATCCCAGAGTCGCAGGGGCGGGGATGGGGGTTGGAGCCGGGGGACTGAGACCCCTATGCCCACCCCTTTCACCTGTGTTCCTTCTCTTGCCCTCTGGACCCTGAGGCAGCCCTGGACAGTGATTTCTTTTGGAATTGGGAGTCAACAGAACCCCAGAGCAAGAATTTAGGGTCGGGCCCCAAGGTCATGCCTCGGGTCACCAGCTGAGCCTAGAACAAACCTGGAGCTCCTAATGTGCCCATCAGAGCTGCAGGGAGAGAGCAGAGAGGGATGGGCTCTCCCATCCCCTGTCCCTCTGCCAGCCGTGTCTGTTCCTGAGGGACCATCAGGGGCCTATACACACCTTATCCTCATACACACCCCTGCCCCTGCACAGGGAGGCACCCCACATGTGCTCCAGAGCTAGCACAGTGAGTGCAGCCTGAGCTGTGTCCCCCTCCTCTCCTAGGGCTGCCCTTCTCTAGCGCGGAGGGACCCCCCTGGCCTGGGAAGACCCAGGCCACACCACAGTCTCGGCACATCTCCCACCCTCTGCGCCCAAGGGAGGGGGGAGGGGAGGAGAAGCACCTCAGGCTGGGAGTACTGTTCCTGCCTGCCTGTCTCCTCCTCCCCGGCAGCCCTAGCTCCTGTGGGAGGGCCGGTAGGGTGGAGGGAGCAGACGTGGCAAGGACCCTAACAGCCTGCAGAGAAGCCCTGCCATAGAAGCTGACTTTAGCCTATCTCCCATCCCCACCCCCACTCTGAGCACAGCCTGGACCACACAGTGGGCTGCTCCCAGGGCTTCTGTGGTCCCCCTTTCCCAACCGCGCTGGCCGGGGGAAAGATCTGACATTTACTGGGGACTTACTGTGGACTGCTGTGCTGAGCTAAGTCTTTCCCAGGGACAGGTTTGTGCTGACACTCCAGTGACCCAATGACCCTGTGAGGGAGGTGCTCTTAAGGTCCCTCTTAGACCCAGGAGAACTGAGGCAGAGAAGTGGACTGCCTCCTAGGGCCATCCAGGTAAGCAGCTGGAGCTGGAATTCAAAGACAGGCCCATCTGACTCTTGGGCAAGTGTTTGCCTCCAGGAAAAGAAAAAGCTGCAACATTTTCTCCAAGCAAAAGGTGAGGGGTGTGGGGCAGGGAGTAAGGAGGTGGGGTGCATGGGGTGTTCCACAGGGAGAGACTTTTCCTGTCTAGGATCACCATGACCATCTTACCCACAGAGGGGAAGGGGTTCGCTCTCAGGTCCCTCCATTCGCCTGGGCTGGGCTGTTGCTCCCTGAACTTACCCTTGCCATCAAACTTTTATTTCCCCAGTGCCTTCAGACCTCAGCGGGACTTCATCTCACCACTGAATCCCATCCTCAGCCTCATGTTTGTTATTCTTTCCTTTCTAGCACCCAGGGAGGCAGGGAGCAGCCTTTATTCAAGGAGGTGGCCACCTGCACAGGTGGCAGGGGCCGCAGGTTGGGACACTCCTATGTCAGAAGTGAGTGGGCAGGTTGGCTGACCACGGGCAGTCTCTCAGCATCAGCATGAACCCCAGGATCCTGTCTGCTAGGGACTGGTTCAGCAGCCGCCCACCCACCTCTGAGCCTGACCTGGAGCCTGCCACAGGTGGGCCAGCCTCTGAGACCACCACCCTCAGCCCAGAAGCCACCAGCTTCAATGACACTGGAATCCCTGACGCAGCTGGTGGAGTAGCCGGCGTGGGCACGGTGCTACTGTCTTTGGGGGTCATCACAGTGATCAGCCTGGCTGTGGCCATGGTGAGAGCTGGGTCTCCCCAGATGGCCCTTGACTGGGGTGGGGGGTTCAGTGTTTAGGTTTTAGAGAATCTAATCAGAGGACAGTTATCTGTTAGCAATAGTACAATCCTTGCCATGCCCTGGGGCCCAGAGATCAGAGAGGCTGCCTCTGATTGGAAGACCCAGAGAGGGTTCTGGGGAATACATGGTGTTTTGACCTGGGTCATGAGTCTCGTAGGAATTGGGGAGGAAGGGGTTCCAGGTGGAGGGTCCTGAGGAGGGAAGTTTGGAGGCACGCAGGGGGTTCTGTGAGCAGCGAGCAGGACAGTGCAGCAGTGTGTGGGGTGCAGGAGGGTACAGACCAGAGGGTGACCGTGATAGACCGTGGGCTGGGGGGCTGGGGTGGGTGTTGGGCCTGGCAGGCTGCTAGCAGTGTTCATTCATTCACTCAGCACTTATTTACTGGGTACCTGCCTTGGCCCAAGCCTTTGAGACCTCAGGACTAGGGAGACAAGGCCCCACCTGTGGTTTTTATGAGGAATGGGAGGCTGACAAACCAGGGGTGCCAAGGGAAGCCCATAGGGGCTGGGGAGGGGAATTGGGCAGGGGAACTTTCTTGGCTGGGTGGTTGGGGACAACAGAGAAGGGAGCATTAGAGCTGACACCTCAAGGTGGAAGCTTGGCCTCAGCATAAGAAGGGGCAGAGTTGGGCAGAGATCAGAAGTGACCTGGGGCTGCAGGGTCCCCCGACAGTGGGTATGGTGCTTCCTCATGCACACTCGGAATGTCATAGAGAGACTGCTGGGGATTGTGCAGGCTGGCACCAGGAAGGCTGGCACCAAGGTCCCCCACTGGGCCTGGCAATGGGGCCTTCTGCCCACTGCCCCTCTCAGGCTCTGATGGCTGGCCTTAGGTTAGAAGATTGCTGCTCTGACAGTAGGGCTGTGGATGGCCCATCCATGGCCTGGCCAGAAAGCCTTAAACGAAGGCTGCCATATGGGCCCCACAGGCTCCAGATCACTGCCAAGGGACAACTGTGAGCCAGCAGCAGGGCCAGGATGCAGCACACAGAGCAGGGCGGGGGCGAGGCTGAGGCGGAGTGCCAGCACTTCCCCTTGGTGCCTCTGTGGCAGCTCAGCAGGCTGAGGTTCCAGAACCTCAGGAGCAAAGTGGGACTGAGAACCTGGTGACTCCTGCCTTCTTGCCAAAAGCGGAGAGGTAGGGAGGCTGGGGGCCGAGGCAGTGGAGGGCGGGAAACGGCCCCTGGGCCCGGAGTCGCTCCCTGAGTGTGGTGTCTGCTTCTCCCAGGCCGGCCCTGCAGTCCCTGCCTGGGTGCCCGCCCTCCTCCCTCAGGCCACATACGCCTTTATCTTCAAATCGGCCGGGGGGCCTTCCTGGGTTCCTCTAGCGTCAGCGTTCAGGCGTTTGGTCTGGGCTGATGTCTGAGGGCTCAGGCCCTCCACCCTAGCCTCTGCCGCTGAGGGCCATCAGCCTCCATTTTGCCCACACGTTGCTTTGGGCCCGGGGGCACTTGAGAGGAGGAGGTGTGCTGAGTGTCCCCTCCCCTTCAGCCCTGAGGAGTCCAAGGCAGGTGCTGGGTGGCCGGAGCCCCAGTCAGCATTGGCAGAGATGGGGCCCACCAGCCCCAGGCGAGGCTGACCGTGTAGTCTTCCCAGGGGGCTCCCAAGGGCAGGCCTGCTCCCCACTCAGCCCAGGTACTGTCAGCATCTAACACGTCAAAGGGAGGCACAAATGCTTAATGTATGTGTCCCTGGGACAGGGTCCCTGTTCATCAGCCTCAGCCTGCCCCCACCCTGAGGGTCTGCGGGGGCCCAGGGCCTCCTCTCTGGGGCGTTCCATGCTGCTCTTTCTTTCGCAGGTTTTGTACATCAGGAAAAAGAAGAGGTAATTCCCCAGCTTCAGCCTGAACTCCAGCTGGGGCTGGTACTGGGCTGGGCTCCAGTGATGGATGGGAAAGGAGAGCCCCCGCCAGCAGGGCCCTCCCTCCGGCAGGGAGTCAGGGCTTCTTCTGCCTGCCCACACTGGGGTGGACCTCCTTCCCCTGGGAGGGCTGAGCACCCTGCCCTGGTGCCCTGCTGCCAACCTCCCTCCCCCATCCCAGCCCCCAGCACTGTGCAGTGTGCCCAGGGACCCTGTGGGCGGCAGCTCCATCTGGTCACGGGAGCCTCACCCACGTGAGGGGTGGCACTGGTACCATAGGTGCAAAATGGCTTTCGCATAATCCCAGGGGGGATCTTAGGCCAAGCCACAGTTGTATGCTGGGCCTCAGCCAGTCAGCCGGCAGGCCTGGAGGGCTTGTGGGAGGGGAGGGCCTGCCATGCCCCCAGCAGCCTCTGCCCCCACCCCAGGCTGGAGAAGCTGCGCCACCAGCTCATGCCCATGTACAACTTCGACCCCACGGAGGCCCAAGAGGAGCTGGAGCAGGAGCTGCTGGAGCATGGACGGGCCACGGCCTCCCTGCGGGCTGTGCAGGGCAAGGTGGGCACAGCCAGGCTCCCCCACCCAGCCTGCACCTGCTCGCGCCTCTTCCGCCCACCCTCCCTCCTGTCTCCTGCAGCTTCCTGGCACCGTGTGGTCAGGTGGCAGCTGTCGGGTAGACGGTTCGTCGGGTTCATTTGAGAAACCGGTAGAAGTCCGTGGCCACCTGCAGATTGCACACGGCCAGGCCAGGGTAGCCTGGGTCCAGCCTGGCCAGGCCCTGAGAGCCTGGTGACCTCGGGGTCACTGGTGGCATCTCTGAGCCTCAGTTTTCTCCCCTGACATGAGAATCATAATTCCTGCCCACGTGCCCCCACCACTGGCTGGGGAAGGAGAGGGCTGATGAGAGGCCCGGTCAGAGGCTGAGACCTGGCTTCCTCTGCTCCCTGCCTGGGTTGGGGTTGGGGTTGGACCCTGGGCAGTGGTACCTCCAAGTAGGCTGCTGGGTGCTTCGTAACTGACAGACCCCAGGCAGGTGGAGACTCCAGCCAAAACACCTCCTGGGCCCAAAGGGTTGAGTACCCATGTGGTCATCCTGCCAGAGCCCCAGCTGCCTGGCAACTGGCTGCCAGTCCCCGAAATCCCCCAGGGCCAGAGCGCCATGAGGAGGCTGGTCTCCCCTGACCCATGAAGTACCTTTGCATCCCTCCTTGCCTTGCCCCACAAGTTGCTGGGGGGTCTGGCCCTACCAGGGGCAGAATAGAGTCCAGGCCAGGAGTCCAGAGGCCCCCCTGGTCTTGCCACCAGTACTGCATCCCCTGGACCAGGACATGCTCCCCCCTGGGATATTCAGGAGATGGTCTGAGAACGCCCACCCGGCCCTTGAGACTGCTAGCCACGTGACAGCAGTTTCCTGTGCACTCCCGGGCCAGCCCCTGTGCTGGGGCTGGGGGTGCAGAGTGAGCCCCCCTTTGCTGGGAGAGGGCAGTGCATGAGTAATGTCTGCCCCCTGGGCCCACAAGGTAAATGCCTCGGGGACTACAGTTGAGGGAGGACTCGTCTGAGCCAGGTGGTCTAGGCAAGCTCCTGGGAAGGGCAGTCCAGGCAGACCCAGCTGGTGCCGAGCGAGCAGGCACCCGGAGACAAGGGTGGAGGTGGCAGAGGGCATGGCCTCGGTCAAGGTGCCTGACCCCCCTGACTCTCTGCAGACCTCTCTCCCTTCTCTGGGCCCGCTGCAGAGGCCCAGCCGGCTGGTGTTCACTGACATAGCCAATGTGATCCACGCGTGAGCGGCCCAGGGACAGGCCTGGACCTCTGATGAAGACACCTGCCTCATGCCCACAGAGCTGCCCGTGCCAGACCCACTCTCAGACCTGCCTGCCAAGGCTCCTGCTACTCTAAGGACCCACCTGCTAACTCTTCCAGGCTCTAAGGGAGGCGCCTGGCCAGGCTGGGCATCCAGCCACTGACATCCCCTGATCTGAGGGCCCTGGTACAGGGGGCACCCCTGAGGTCAGCAGAGTTGAGAGCCACCACCAGCTTCCTTGTGTCCTGCCCACACCCCGCACATCAGGGTATGCTCCTCTAATGTGGAGGAAATGGGGGGACATGGGATGGGAGGGGAATAGAGGGAGTCCTCCTCTGTCAGGGACAGACCTATCTGGAATCTGGAACCTCCTCGGGTGGGGGGAGGCAACCACCAGCTCTTAGGGACGGTGTGGCGGCACCCGGGGGTGGCGCTCAAGCCTCCCAGTGGGCCAGGATGTCACAGGAGGGCTGCTCAGGCCCAAAGGCCCTCCAGAGCGCAGAGGGTCCAGAAGGCCTCCCAGCCGCCCCCCCACCGCCCGGCAGCCAGCTGCTGGCTGGGCCACACTCAGACAGGGTGAGGGAGGGAGAAAGGTACGGGTGTGGAGGGAGGCAGTGCCCAGGCCGCGGAGAGGCTCACGCGTGCGCAGGAGCGGGCCCACGTGCAGACGCGTGCGGGGCCGGGGCCAGGACGGAGACCTCTGCCGTGTCCCCCGCTTCCAGTCGGCCCACCCTGTGGTGTGCGGAGGAGCATGGGGTGGGCACCTTTGCTTAAACGGCCATAGATTGGAGGGGAGGGTTCTGCTGCCCCCACATCCCTTGTTGGGGCTCTGAGAGCCGGGAAACCCACTCCCTTTGGTGTGTATCGGGGACCTGGGGGTTGGGAGAAGCTTCTGGCCTGAGGGCTGTGTGGTCACAGCTGCAGGTGAGGCGGACAAGTGCTGACTGGCTGAACTGGTGGGGAAGCTCCCTGGGAAACAGGCCCCTCTGGAGTTCTCTACCAGTCTGGGCCGCCTGGGCAGGGCAGAGCTGGGCGTGCATGTGCTCGTGAGCGAGCATGGAGGTGTACCCCTTGTCCGCCTCGCCACCACTGTGCACCGCTGGCTGGAAGGAGCAGGGGGACAGCAGTACAAATCTTGTGTTGGGCAAACACCACATGTCAGGCTGTGAGGGCCTAGGAGGCCCATGGGGGGAAGGTTCTGGATTTATTCCCTCCTCCAGATGCCGTAAATACCTTAGCACTTGAACCTGCTGGAGGCTGGGTAATGCAAGGTGCACAGAAGCTGTAATTAACTCACAGCGTTTACATGTGAGCATTAAACATGTAATTAAGATGTTTACACGAAAAGACTGTGACAGTCGGGGTGTGAAACCCCAGGAGGGGAGGAATGGGTGAGGACTTTGGGGGCCTGGGGTGGTCCCGGGGATCCTGGGATAGTCTTGGGGAACCCCAGCTGGTTCTCCTTGATGCCCAACGGAATGCCTCCGGCCTTGAGTTCGGTAGGCTCTGAGGCCTCCTGTCTCCACTGTGGGGTGGGGCCACAATGCCTGCCGTCCCTGTGGGTGGAGAGACCGAGTAGACAGGACCCAGTGGGGCCAGAGGACAGAGGGGGCTTGAGCCCCAAGGGCCACGGAAGGCATGTCACCTCAGGACCTCACGAGCTAGGTCAGAACCCTGAAAGGGAGCAAGATGATATCTTTCCTGGAACACAAGGTGCAGATGGGGAGTAGGGGTGGGAGCCACAAGGGTTCTGTGTGGGACACCTCCCCACGGGGTTCAAGACAGTGAGGGGAGAGTGGCACTAGGGGGACCACTGTCTTGATTTCTCGGGACTGCCCAGTTTTAGCACTGACAACCCCATAAGGCAGGCGCTCAAGGACAGCCAGACCCGGCCCTGGGAGCTAAGCCTTCAGGCTGGTATAAATGGAAATGGACGAAGGGCTGAGCCCCCTACTCCGGGGTGAAGGGCTGGGCTGGAGGTGAGGGTATGGGACAGGGCCTTGGGGAGGGACAAGAGCCCCAAACACACGACAAACCACCTATGCCTGTCTGTCCCTGACGACCCTGGTCCTGGGGGGGAGTCTTCCTGAGGGCCATGGGTGAGAGGAGAAGGGGTGCGTGGACTGTGACCCTATCCTGCCAAATAGCCCCTCAGCCTGAGAATGTGGGGGTGGCAGGACCCTAAGGAAACAGCCCGCAGAGTAAGGCTGGCACCCAGGGACCAGGGCTGGAAGGGGCCCCAGGAGGACCTTTCCTCCCTGTTGCCTGCCACGTGCCCCACTCCCTGAGTGAGCTTAGCTAGGCGGTGGGCACAGGGCAGCCTTGCATGGGTAGTGGGGCCGCTGCCCATCCCTGTTCCCTCCTCCTGCCATGACCTGGTCCCCTGCTCCCCCTCCCAGCCCTGCATGAACAGTAGACTTCCCGGAAGTTCCTGGGTCTTCGCAAGCTCAAGGTCAATAAACACGGTGAAAGGCTCCAGCTGGCGTGTCCTCCTTGAGGCTGTGGGCCCGGGGTGGGGGGTGGGGCGGGCCAGGGCTCCTCTACTGCCCTCAGCCTGGCAAGCAAAGTGAGACAGAGTCACCTGCTGACTCACTCCTGACGTTCCTGGAACCAACCATCAAAGGGGCCCCTCAGGAAGTGCCCCCTGCCAGAAACCCACACGGGGATGAGGCAAACCCCTCCTGGGGACGACGACCAGGGCTTAGGGCAGAGGCTGCCGTTTGCCATGCGTGGGTGGTATCGGGGGACAGGCACGGGGGCCCTCGGAGGGGCCACCTTGTTGAGCAACGGACAGGTCACCTTCAGCCCCTGCTGCCTGGAAGCCCAGGGACAGCTTCAGAATGCAGAGGGGAGGTTTGCGGGAGTGAGCCCAGAACCCCCTCCGGTGGGGCAGCATCGCCTGGCCAGGAACTCTCCAGAAGTGTCTCGGCGCCTCACCACGGGCCCTGCAGATGGGAGGAGGTGCTGTCAGGAAGGAGGGGAGAGTGTGTGGGGGTGTCATGTGCGTGCACGCACACCCTGTGTCTGTGTCTTTATAACTACACCTAATGCAAAGGAAGGCGCAGAAGGCCCGGGGCAGGAGGCTGGACACCCTACCTGTCCAGCTGCACCCCACAGCAGGCCTCAGCATGGAGGGCCTTCCAGCATATCTGGGGGACTCCAGGGGCCACTGGTCTGGCACCCCCACCCCGCCTGCCCCCAACCACCAGGAAACACACCACCCGCAGAGCTGGAGGAAGGTGGCAAGAAAACGGCAGGAAGAGTAGGGCGGGCTCCCCAGCGCAGAGGAGACCCCGGGTCAGGCTTCCGCTTGAAAGGCGACTCTCTGGGTACCTGGTTGGATCCATGAATGGGCCCGGCCTGGGATTCCTGTCTGGGCCGGGGGCAGAGAGGGGGCAGGCCTTGGGCTACCTCAAGGGCCAGAATCTGGTCCTAGTGACGGCCGCCCAAGCCTGGCACATCCTGGCACAATCTCACTTTATCCCTGTGCCCTTCCTAAGGGCGTACTGTCACCCCTCTTACAGAGGAAGAGACCGAGGTCATCAGACCCAGAGCCAGAGCAGACCCTCAACTCCAGCCCAGGAAGGTGTCTCAGATGCGCCCTAGAACAGGAGGCTCTCGGCCTGCCCAGCACGCAGGCCCGTAGGTCCCCGTGCGGCGACGGGCTCAAGTGCCGGCCTCTGCTGCCACCTGCTGGCAGCCTGGGCCCTTCCGGGCCACATGTCCTCCGGCCCCCTCGGGGCTGCCTCCCCTCGCTCAGCCTCCCCCTGGGGCGTGGAGGGTCACCCTCGCTGTGGGCCCGGACATGAGGGCTCAACCGGCAGAGCCAGTAGTGGGTGAGGTGAGTGGGGCCTCAGGGTTCAAGTGAGGGTGCCGCACCTCCTGAGAGGGAATCCTCCCTTGGCCTGGTCCCAGCCCAGACCTGCCGTCCAGGCCCTGGTCAGCACAGGCGGGCAGTGAGTCCCCACCTCGTGGCCACTCCACACCGGTGGGCCACAGGCCCCAGGCGCTCCCCCAGTGAAAGCGTGGGCCCCTGCCCATATGGGAGCTTGCCCGGATGCGCGTCACCCAGGGGAGGCTGAAAGCACAGATTACAGAGACTTGAGGGCTCAGCTGTGGGTCAGCAAGGTGACCCTCAGAAGCCCCGGACGGGGGAGGAGGGCAGGGTTCCTGCTGTAAGCCCCAGAATCTGTGTGTGCCCCTCTTGCAGACAGACCCAGAGCCCGTTTAATCCCCCAGCTACCCCAGAGCATGGGGAAACCGAGGCACAGAGCAATAGGCTTGCTCAGCATGCAGCAAGGCCTGGACTGCCCCCAGGTGGGCTGACCGCAGAGCTCACGCCCAACCCCCGAAGCAGGAGCAGTGCTCTCCAGAGACAGGGCCAGCCTGTCATCACCCCTCTCCACGTGTTCCCAGCTCCTCCCAGGCCCTCTGCTGGAGCCAGGCAGCCATGCTAAGGGCAACAAAGCAGCCCCCATGGGTAGTGAAAGGAGATGCAGGGAGGTGACAGAATCTGGAGGAGGGACCATCGCTTCTGAGGACGGGGCAAGGCCGTGTGCTGTGTGTGGACACAGGAGACGGGGCACCTCAGGCTGGGCAGGGAGCAAGGTGTGAGGATGGCAGGTGTGTCACAGCCAGGACACCAGGGCAGAGCGCTTGCCAGGCAACCCAGCGAACATGGTTGTCCCACACAGTGCACTAGGCCCACCCTGCAGGCGGCACCTGCTCCGTCCCGCTCTCTGCAGGGGGTCGCCAGGCCAATGGCGCTGCCGAATGACTCCTCAGAGAGACCAACCCTACCTCCACCCCCTCCAGGGGGACCCTGGGGTGTCCCTGCTGCCAGGGGTGACCTCCCCAAACCTGAGTCTTAGAGTGGGCACAGCTCCTTTGGAGGGAGGCGAGGGCCACCAGGTGGCAGTGCAGGCCCAGATAGGAGCAGGGAGGCGGCTGGGGCCGGGCACCCTCAGTGAATTTGGCCCCCAGCCCTTTTTCAGGAGTCTGGGAGCCTGGGTGGCTGGTGCTCTGAAGCTGTTTGCTTGCTCCCTGCCAGGAGCAGGTCTGGACCAGGGCTGATTCAGGGAGACAGCCCGGGCACTGCCTGAGCGTCGGGAATGGAGCTGGTGCCTGGCAGGTGCTCAGGGCGCCTTATGACTGGAGGATTGGTGAATGGTCCTGCTTCGCGGGAATTACAGGGGTTAACCTACAGAAAGCACGTGGAGAGGCTGCAATGAATGTATCATGGAGGATGGTTCTGCCTAGACAAGGCCCCAGAGGCCCCCACCCATCTTGGACGTAGGGGGTCTAAACTGTGGGCCCCATCCTGGGATGGATGCCAGGTGTCTTCCATGGCAGAGTGAACCTTCTGCTCCTGCCGGGCTGGCACTCCGACTGGAGATGGGGCAGGGTGAAGCTGGGGCACAGCCTGCGGTGGTACCTGCAGAGCCCTCCCTCCCTGCCCCACACCTCCGTTCTGCTCTATCCCTCATCCCAGCTGCTTCCCGTGCCTGCCAGGGCATCCACAGAGGGGTGACAGCGTCTCTCCCTGCCCGGACACAGAGGCTTCTTTCCGCTGTGCGTGAGACCCATTGGCGGCTTCACGCGCAGCCGAGTTTCAGCATGTCCAGTGGCTTGTCGGGCCGCACAGAACTTGAGCCCAGCTCTGTGGGCCTCCTAGGCCAGGCTCTGAACGGGTCCGGGGCGGATTCCTGCCCCAGGCCTGGGCTCTGGGTGGCCCCTGGGTATGTCACTGAGAGGCCCCCTCCTTGTAGCTCCCGCACCCCAAGTCAACGCATGAGCTGG